GAACAACGTGTGAAAATAGCTGGAAAGAAGGAAAATAAGTTCTCATTAATCTTCAAAAGGTTCTAGTGACATACATCTGTACAATACAATAAAAATACAGTTAGGCTAAAAATACAATTGGGCTGGGTATGTCTATAAAACAAACTACTAATGTCAACACTATTTTGACTGAGACCCAATATTGTCAATACCCTCTTCAAGTTGGAGGGTGTAAACACTCCAAGCTTGCACAAGAAGTGATGATGTAGAGGTCCAGGTAGATGCCTGGCCAGCATATCTGCAAGTTGAGCAGAACTGGGAACAAACAATAAGGAGATCAATCCTGAATGTAGGCTGTCACGGATAAAATGAAAATCAACCTCAATATACTTCGTGCGCTCATGAAATACAGGATTTTTGATAATATGTAAAATTGCTTGGTTTTTACAAAAGAGGAAAACATGTCCAGAAATATTCAAGCCAAGATCACAGCAAGCGGACCAACAGAGAAATCTCAGTCACAACCATTCTCAAAGCTCAATATTCAGCTTTAGATGAAGAAAGAGCCACAGTAGATTGCTTCTTACTCTTCCAAGAAATAGGACTACCCCCAAGCGTGATGTAAAAACATGTCACAGATCTTCTAGAAATAGCACAAGCAACCAAATCTAAATAGTCTAAAAGAGAGAAATCAGAACTGGTAGATAATAGAAGATCTTGGGCAGGATCATTCATCAAATATCTTAGGACATGAAAAAATGTTATCATATGAGTAACATGTAGAGCCTGTAAGAATTGACTGAGATGCTGGATTGAAAATAAGACATCAGACCTGGTATGTTGAAGAAAATTGAGCTTGCCAACCAACCTCCTATAAGTGCTAGGATCAGAAATAGGGTCACCTATATCAGCATCCAATTTTACACTGGGATCCAAAAGGGTGGAAGTAGGAGTGAAGTTCTCACAATAAAATTCAGCTAGAAGGTCAGAGATGTACTTTTGTTGGCTCATAAAGTAACCCTGCTGATGAGGAATGACTTCTAAACCCAGGAAGTAATAAACAGATCCAAGATACTTTATCTTGATGTCATCCAGGAAAGTTTTCAGAGAATTCAATTCATTCATATCATCACCAGCCAAAAACAAATCATCTACATAAGCAACAATTACCACCAAGGAGGAACCGAAGTCATAGTGAAGAGTGAGTTATCATTCTTACTAGATGCATAACGCCTGGAGATCAAAAACCCAAACAATTTTACAAACCATTGTCTGGATATTTGTTTAACCCCAAAAGTAAATTTTTGAGTTTGCAAAGCAAATGAGAGGCAAATGAAGATTCAGATACCACAAGACCAAGAGGAATCTTCATGTAAACCTCTTCATGGAGGTCACCATGTAAGAAGAGCATTGTTGAAAACCAATTGAAAAAAAATCCACCCTCTTAACAACTAGGGTAAGTAGACATCTGATTGTGGTAAGTTTGATAATTGGGGAAAAAGTTTCAGTATAGTCTATCCATTTCTTTCTGGGTATCCCCTCTAATCACAAATTTTGATTTATATCTTTCAATAGTGGCATCAGACTTCTATTTTATCTTATATAACCACTTACAAAGTATTGGCTTCTTATGAGGAGGAAGGGGAACAATATCCCAAGTCTGGTTTGCATCAAGGGCCTGAAATACTTTGATCATGTCCTCTTGCCAAGCAGGATTAGAGACAACTTGTTGATAAAATTGAGGTTCATGCATATGCAAATCAATAGTAGACACCTTGGTAGATAAAGAAGCAGGAAGAGGAGAAGGGATGACAGAGGTGCAAACATAATGTTTAAGATACATTGGAGGATGGACCGCTCTGCCAAATCTTCTAACTTCAGGGACTAGAAGACAAGGATGTGAAGGATGAAAAGAAGCAGTGGAAGAAGAAGAAGAAACAACAGGAGTGATGGAGGCGGGACAAAGTGCAGGAGGATCAAAGGCAATAGTAGGAGAAGGAAGATCAACAAAATCAGGTGGAGGAGGAAAAGTGGGAGAAGAGGAAGAATGGTAAGGGAAGATGTGCTCATGGAATGACATCCTTGGAGAAGAAAACAGAACGAGTAGACGTATTTAATAGTTTGTAACCCTTTTTTCCACAGGGGTACCCCAAGAAAATAGCAGAAATGGACCTAGACTAGAACTTATCCCTACCGGGTTTAGGGCTTACTGTATGACAAAGGCATCCAAAGGGTTTCAGATGATCATAAGTAGGAATAGTACCATGCAATTTTTCAAAGGAAGATACATTGTGTAAAACAGTAGAAGGAACCCTATTTATAATGTAAATGGCAGTGAGAACACATTTACCCCAATACTTGAGAGGAAGCTTGGATTGAAACAGAAGAGCTCTAGAAACTTCTAATAAACGTTTGTGTTTTCTTTCAACTATCCTATTTTGTTGTGGAGTGTGTGCAATAGTAGTTTGGTGAAGAATTCCATTATCAATGAAGAACTGTTGAGTTGCAGTATTACTGTCTAGTTCATATGCATTGTTAGACCTAAAGCACTAAACAATAGACAGGAATTGCACTTTGACCATTTGGAGGAAAGCTTTAAGGATTGAAAGAGCATTACTCTTACAAGATAGAAGATTAGAGTCCAAGTCACTCTAGTAAATTCATCAACTAGAGTCAAAAAGTATCTAAAACCATTAAAAGTTGGAGTATTGTAAGGACCCCAAATATCAATGTGAACAAGTTGGAAGGGAACATAGGAATTGATAATAGACAAAATTACAGAATAAAGTACTCCATAAGTTGACGCTGCACTATTTTAACCCAGTTACAAGTTTGCAAATATGTAGCCAATATAAATAAAATCTTTTCTTTTCACATTCCCTCTAATTATAACAACCTTATTTATTTTTCCGTCACCTACCTACCCCTATTGTAGCTTTCTCCTCATTTTTCACCCATAAATATTTTATTTAATTAATAAAAAAGAATCATATGAAAACAAAAATCAGTTCCCCATTTTTAGTGTAACCATTGATCGAGACATCAGTCAACACTCATTTGTGCCTTCTTCCATAACCAATACTTCTCCGAATTGTTTCTTTTTTTTGGATTTTGTATGTCTTTCGGCCTATCACAACTACAAAACGCAAAAACAGATGCGAGAAACCTAAAATCACATCTCCTTTAATGCTAATCTTGTTAAATTCGATAAGATTTTTTGAGAAATTTGGAGTGGGTATTGCTTGAACTTATTAGAAATCGTCTAAGTAGGTTGTATACAAAGTTTGAGGTTATTTTCTGGAGATTTGGACTAGTTTTATACAAGAATTGCAAGTGAAAATCGTACAAAAATTTCGTTAGAGATGCTTATACACTTTTATACAAAGAGGTATATTATGCATATAGTTGTATAAAAATATATAAAGATGTATAATCACAGAGTGAAAATATTCTTGATACACTATGTATATAGGTGTATAAGAAGAATGAGGAGAAGAAAAAGAATGAGGAGAAGGAGGAGGAGGAGGAGGAGGAGAAGGAGGAGAAGAAGGAGAAGAAGGAGGAGAAAGAAGAGAAGGAGGAGGAGGAGAAGTAGAAGAAGGAGAAGGAGGAGAAGGAGAAGAAGAAGGAGAAGGAGGAGAAGGAGGAGAAAGATAAGGAGGAGGAGGAGAAGAGCAAAAGAAGGAGGAGAAAAAGGAGGAGAAGAAGAAGGAGCAGAAGTAGGAGGAGAAGGAGGAGAAGAGGAGGAAGAGGACGAAGAAGAAGAAGAGGAGGAGGAAGAAGGAGAGAGAAATTCACCAAATACTTGTAAATAATGTATCAACCTTGTATACAATAGTGTATAAGAGGTGTTTATACATTATTTATATAATATTGTACATTATTATACAAATGAATCCTAACAATGGAGCTTCACGTGTTCTTCTTCCTTGGGAATCCTCTGAAATTTAACTCGAATATAGCCTAAATCTACTCCAAATCACTTGAAATTTAAGTTTTGAACTCATCTTGATGATTTCAATCAATTGGGACAACACCCACTCCAAACAACTAACAAATCGGAAAACTCAATTTCTGAAATTGAATCTTTGAACCACCTTTAATGGTGACTTATTTTTCAAAACCTTAGTTAACCATTGGAATCCGAAAAAGAATTGAACGAGAATAACAATAGTAGAGAATTTTTTGGGTGCGAAGGCTGATACGAGAAGAAGAAGAAGAAGAAGAAAGAAGAAAAAAGGGATGGGCTAACTAGTAAAAAGTTATTTTCAAGTTATGTACAACCTGGGTTACACTGGGTAAGGGCTTCAAATGTGGGCCATTTTCTGATGGGTTGTTGGGCCAAGTGATAAGGGATGTAATTCTCCCTTGATAATACTATCATGAAAAGGCAATCTCTATTGTCTAGTCATAAGACAAGCAATACACAAAAATTGTTGTTTAGATGAAATTTTATTAGATAAAAAAAGAAATAGATTTCATCCTAGTAAATGAAATATGACCAACCTTTGATGCCAAAATAAATCACTTTTATTAGCAACAACAGGTGGATTACAAGTTGAACTATGAATTACAGAATGTTCAGGAGAATTGGAAACATGAGCAGATACATCACTATGAATATAATTACAAACATAATAGGGAACAAGAATAGGGAGTTGTGGATTAGCTGAATGGAAGAAGTATAACCCATTTTCATCCTTACCAATTTCCAGAGGCCTCCTCAAAGAAGGGCCCTGTAAAATGCAAGTAGAAATGCTGAAGACTGCAAGACAATTAAACTGAAGAAGCAATTTGTGCACAAAGATCAAGTTGAAAAAAAAGGATGGAATTAAAAGAACATTATGTAATATCATATCTGCTCAAAGAACTAATGATCCAGTAGATATAACTTTAACTTTATATTCATTTGGTAAGGTTATCAGAAATGGAGAAACGAATGATTTAAGGTTGTGGAGAAGATGTTTATGTGGTGGCATGTGATTGGTGGCACCAGAATCTATAATCCAAGGATTCAAACCTAAAGTTGAAACTACACATGTATGAAAAAAGTAGAATGCACTTCAGGGTGGTTATACACACCTGCAAAATTTGCAAATCCAAAATTGTCAACAACATTATTCTCATGGTGGAAGGCAGGAGAGGTGTGAATCTGCTGGAACAAAGTCATAAGATGTTGTGATTGTTCTCTACTGAAGCCATGACCAGATACTTCATAAGAACCATGGTTGGAAGAAATAGACTCTGGAATATGACCCCTAGACCGAACACATGCAACAGACCTCTTATTCTTGGTAAACTTGAAGTCTGGGGAAAAATCATAGAGCTTGTAGCACTTATCAATAGTGTGCCCAGGTTTCTTACAGTACTTACAAGACATACTTGAGGTGGAAGTAGAACCTCTTTTTGAGTCAAAATGTACCCTCTGATGGAAAAATCTATGATTATTCATATGTCCAGCTAAAGCATTAAATGAAGCAGAATCATTAGAGAAGCCAGGAACAGGAGCAGAGGTCTCCTTCTACTTGTCATTAATTTGAAACATTGAATATGCTTTGCTCAAAGAGGGGAGAGATGGCATCATAACGATATTGCCTTTGCATGTAGAATAAGACTCATTTAATATACTAAAGAATTGGTAGATTTTCTCTTCTTCAATGAATTTAGGAAAAGCTCCACAAGAGCAAACTGGTCCTACATATGCAGTACTAAGTTCATCCCAAAGACCACTCAGTTTGGTAAAATAAGTGGCAATGTCTAAAGACCCCTGGGAAGTAGCACTAACTTCTCTCTGAATCTGGATATATTTGGAGCCATTTGATGTACCAAACCTCTCATTATCAGCCCACATATCCTTAGTTGTATCAAAACACATCACACTATTTGCTATATCCCTAGAAAGTGAGTTTGTTATCCATGCAATGACCATCGTAACCAGAATTGGTAGTATGGAAAATGTAATTGAGGTTTTGGGTCTCTGCCAGTTATAAGCCCTAACTTGTTTTAAGCAGAAAGTGCAGTCTAACATGTTTTTACACCAAATAACAAAACCATTACTATCAAAAGGTGGGGATACCAGGTGAGTACCTGGAATATCGGACGGATGGGCATAAAATGGATGGGAAGGGGGAACAGTTAAGTCATCAAATCCATCAATAGTAGAGGATGAACTAATCTTTGGACTACCCTTGACGAAACCCTAATTAGGTATGTTTCACAAAATGCAGACGACTAACAGGATTTTTGTCAATACTGAACATGAAGAGTAGTAATAGAAGGTGTTACCGTCCTTTACAACCTAAAGAAGTAAGGCCTTGAAGTTTGACCCAAAATCATGGCGACAGGCGTCAAATTGTTAGACCGTGAACCACCAGAAATCACCGCATAAAATTCACGAGAAATTCCCTGTTAAACCATCGAAAACATCTAGAAATTATATCGAAGACTAATGAATCGCACAAAATTCCATGAAAAAATCGAACAAAGAGAAAGGTGTTACGAAGATTACCACGAAACTTCGCAAATCCACCGTCGATCTATAGAGCCGAGCCAGAATCAATTGATTCTAGGCTCTGATATTATGTTAATGTGCATAAATCAACCCATAATTGTGAAAGAAATGAAATGAATAAGAACCTTAATTTGAGAGAAAGAGAGAGAGAACATTGTGTGAAAATATCTGGAAAGAAGGAAAATGAATTCGCATTAATCTTCAGAGGGTTCTAGTGACATATCTGTACAATACAATGAAAATACATTTGGGACGGGTATATCTACAAAACAAAGTATTAATATCAATACTATTTTGACTGAGGCTCAATATTGTCAAAACAATTCGATTAGAACTCTAGAATATACAGACAATGCTAAAAACTAAATCTCGAATAGATTTTTTCTAAAAAATTAAAACCCTGAAAACGAATAGAAATTTATAAAAACTTAAATATGCATCCTAAAAATTTCTAATTTTAATTCCAAACCTAACAACAAATGAGTATATCCCAAGAGGGGAATGAACAGAGAGCTCTACTGAGAAAAAAAGAGTGAACTTACATGTAAAGAGAGATTCCGGCGACAATCTAATTATTTGTTTCCATTAGAATTTGGTCGGAGATTACCTGTAGAGGAAAATGACAAGGACTTGAAGCTGAACACAAAAGCCTTTGGGAGTGGGAGTGTATAGTTTGTAGGAAGAAGGGCATAAAAGTAATACTTGGTCCAACTTTTAATGCCATAATACACGTTTCATATCTTTAAAACAGATCACACGAATCAAACAAAGCTTAATATATACTTATAAATTTACAATGTTACCTTGGGAAGCAGGACGACCAAGTCATGCTTACTCCCGCCTCTAAAATAAGGTGTATTTCCTTGTACCCTGAACTTTATTGTTTTTCTTATAGTGGAGAAATTGAAAAAAAGTAATATTTAAACTTTTCAATTAAGCATGCAAATATAAGAGGGCACCTCATAGCAAAAATTATTTTATAAGAGGAGTTTAGTGGGAATCCAGACATAGTAGTATCCAACAAATAAAACTTGTTTTCATTAGACTAAAATAATAATCTTTTTTGTATTTGCCTTTATATCCAATCCCAATCATGTTCATTTTATTTGGTTAATTTGTTGCAAAAGATTCGTCATCCGTTGACTTATTTTCAGTGTCGAATTAAGAGAGATTTCAATAGTTATGGACACATCAATTGGTTTAAGCTCGAAGTGTACATTATTTGAAAATTACTTGTAAAAGAACACGTGTTCACCAAACTCATATTACTAAAAGGATAGCGAATGCAGTAGTACATCGTTTTTAACAAAAGTACAATTACATTATTAACATATTACAGGAGTTCAAATTTTAATTATTTAAGATTATGGAGTTAATGTTATTATTCAACTTCAAACTGATGTTCATAATAAACTGAAAAAATTTTTATTTATAGAAGAAAGGAAGCAGCTGCAAGGCTTTTCGGAAAGCAGTTGCGAGGCTTTTCTTGAGCTGCTTGTAAGTTGTCTGCATGGGCTGCTTGCAACCTGCCTGTTTAATAAGAAAATGTTGCAAATCATTTCATTTAGTTGCTGGCAACTTGCCTGCATCAGCTGCTTGTAGATAAACTTCAATGGATTACTAAATGGATAATCTTCTTCAGGAAGATTATCTATAGCGGATTATTAAATGAACATCTAATATAATATTTTCATAACAATCCCCCTTGGATGTTTATTAAAAGATAATGTGCCTCGTTAAAACCTTAGTAGAAAAAATCCAGTGGGAAAGATCCTAGTAAAGGAAAAAGAGTACACATATTTAGCAGGGGCGGCCCTTCCATAAATCAAGTAACGCAATTATTTTAGGCCCCACATTTGTGGAGGACCCATTTTTTCTATACATAATAAGCTATATATAAATTTTAAAAGAAGTTATGTGAAGTGAAAAAGGATTTGCAACTGATAAAATTTTTGCCAAGGAAATTGCATTTGAAATGAATATCGAATCCGAATTTCGTAAGAAACGTGCGATATATAGGAAGAAACAATTTGAGAAGAATATTGATAATGAAATCTCAAAATCTCTCGAAGAGTCCTATACTCCCTCAATCCATAATAAGTGACTTTTTTACCTTTGGCACACCCCTTAAGAAAATACTGACTCTTAGAGCAAAAAAGGTATTTTGACTAAATTATCCTTAATTAAAATTTACATGTTGTTAACTTGACACATTGAGGTATGTAAATAAGGGCAAAGTTTGAAAAAATAAAGTTAATTCCTTCTCGATTATATAAAAGGACACTTATTTTAGATCAAAATAAAAGCAAAAAAATTACTTATTATGGACCGAAGATAGTAGCAGATAAGGTTAATTTTTTTCACTTCAAAATAGATTTGAACAATTAGAAGTATATGAAAATATTTTTGGTTTTCTATTTAGCGGTAAAAAACTGAGATCACTAGATGATGAAAATTTAGAAAAATATTGTCTTGATCTTGAATGTTCCATAAAGCATAATGATCAACCCGATATTGATAGTTTAAATTTATTTTCTGAATTAAAAGTGTTAAGAAAAATAGTACAATTAGAAGATAACAGTTTAATTGATATACTCAATTAAATAAAAAGATTTGAATCTTTTTCAAATGCCTATATTATTTATAGGATATTGTTAATAACTCCTATTACCATTGCTTCAGCGGAAAGAAGTGTTTCAAAATTAAAATTGATAAAACCTTACCGATGATCAATAATGCCTCAAGAAAGATTAAATGAATTAGATATATTGTCAATTGAGAAAGACTTATTAGGAGAAATTGATTATAAAAAATTATTAATAACTTTGCATCTAAAAAAGCTAGAAAAATAGACTTTAAATAGAAATAATTTTTAATAAAAAAGTTTAGGCCCCTCATAAAATTTGGCTTTAGGCTATGAGATTCGTCGGGCCGCCCCTGATATTTAGTAATACGCATTTCTAACTGTCTCATTAAAAACCTTACAAGAAAAATCTCATGGGAAAAACCTTAGTAAGGGAAAAAGAGTGCAGCACGTATTTCACTCCCCCTGATGAAAATCTTGTTTCAAATATTTGAGTATTTGCATTCCAATCTTGTATACCATCTTCTCAAAAGTTAAAGTTGGCAAAGATTTAGTGAACAAATCTACCGGATTGTCACTTGAACGGATTTATTGCACATCAATGTCACCATTTTTCTGAAGATCATGTGTGTAGAATAATTTTGGTGAAATGTGCTTCATTCTATCTCCTTTTATAAATCTTCCCTTCAATTGGGCTACGCATGCATGTGACGACTCGACCGGTTGTCTTAAGAATTAATGCCCTAATCCCCTATTAACTGCCTTCCCCAAGTTTATTTCTGCTATTTTGATTTGCTCGGATGTTCGGTTTTGAGTTTCGGAGAGTTTTGGGACACATAGTCCCTAAATGAGAGCTTAAGTGTTGGAAAGTTGACTGTAGTCGGAACAGTGTGAAGACGGCCTCGGAATGGAAATCCGATGGTTCCGTTAGCTCCGTTAGGTGATTTCGGGCTTAGGGGCGTGTTCGGATTGTGTTTTGGAGGTCCGTAGCTAATTTAGGCTTGAAATGCCGAAAGTTGAATTTTTGAAGTTTCCAGTTCGATAGTGAGATTTTGATCCGAGGGTCGCAATGAAATTCTGAAAGTTGGAGTAGCTCCGTAGTGTTTAATGTGATGTGTGTGCAAAATTTCAGGTCATTCGGACGAGGTTTGATAGACTTTTTGATCGAAAGCGTAGTTTTAGAGTTTTTGAAATTCTTAGGCTTGAATCCGATAAAAAATAGGTGTTTTGATGTTGTTTTGAGCATTCCGAAGGTTGGAACAAGTTTGAATGACATTTTAGGATTGGTTGGCAGGGTTGGTTGAGGTCCCGCGGGCCTCGGATGTGTTTCGGATGCTCAACGGACCATTTTTGGACTTGGAAAGATTGCAGATTTTCTGTTGTTGTGTTGCAAAGGAAACATTCATCGCGTTCGCGAGAGGGTCTCGCGTTCGCGTAGAGCATCAGGGTGAAGCAGCTGAATCATGCTACGCGTTCGCGATGAGTTCCCGCGTTCGCGAAGGTATGGACCCGTTGGTCTTCGCGTTCGCGACATGGTCCTCGCGTTCGCGTAAGGTCTGCCAGTAAGAGCTACGCGTTCGTGAAAGAGGAAGTTGGCCGGTAGATTTCTTTGTGCATCGCATTCGCGATACTAGTCTCGCGTTCGCGAAGAGGAACGCGTCTAGGAAGAATATAAAATTTCAAAGTCGAGGGTTAGCCATTTTTGTAAAAACTAAAGCTTGGGAGCTCGGATTTGAGCGAGATTTTGAGGGATTTTCAGAGATATCGATTGGGTAACGATTCTTAACTCCTTTTTGCTTGTAACCCATTAATCTAAACATGAATTCATCATTTAATTTCGGATTGGAGATGAAAATTTGGGAAAAGTTGGAAGAAAGTTCTTAGACCTAAAATTTGACTTTTTGAGTGGGAATTTGACCTTAGATTTGGATGATTTTGGTATGTATGAACTCGTGAGTGTATGAGGATTCTGAAAATATAAATTTTACCTGATTCCGAGACGTCGGCCCGAGGGACATTTTGGTTATTTTACTTAATTTCGCGTGTTAGCTTAGAATTTCTTTATAGAATCAGTTACTTGAAGTGTTATTTACATTATGCAATTGAATTGAGTAGATTTGGGCCATTTGGAGTCGAGTACTCGTGGAAAGAGCGTGGTTTCGGGTTGATTTTGAGCAGGTTCGAGGTAGTGGCTTGCCTAACCTTGTGTGGGGGACCTTTTCCCTTAGGATTTGGTATATTTGGTAATTGAAATGCCTTGTACGTGAGGTGACGAGTGCATACTTGTGCTAATTGTTGAAAATCCGGTTTTCATTCAGCAATTACTAGTATGTTTCCTTTCCTATTTTTATTACTCGCACTATTAAGCCTGTTGTTAGCTTAGGAAAGCATGTATAAGTGAATTAATTGCTTTATTTGCTTAAACTGCCTTACCTGAATTTTGTGCAGCATGCTAGGCTAGAATTACTTGTTGCCTTAATATGAATTAGCCATTTCTGAGTATTTTTCCTGTTGCTGCTGTGTATTTACATTTGGACTACGGATGTGGGATTCCGGTAGATCCTCATTGTCTGTTTATTTGGGACTACGGATGTGGGATAACAGTAAATCCCCCTGCACAATTGTATGGAACTACGGGACTGTACCCGGTAGATTCTCCCAATACTGAGTATTTATATTTGGGACTACGGATCAGGATTTCGGTAGATCCCCACGCACTGATAGTTGGACTATGGGACGGGATCCCGGGAGATCCTTCGGATATATATGATGGACTACGGGATGGTATCTCGAGCGATTTACTGGATAGATGTAATTGAGACTATAGGACGGTAACCTGGAAGATACCTCGGTTGTTATCTCTGTGTTGAGTTGTATTTCCTTTCCGTGATTATTTTGCCTCTGTTCTAGTTGTTGTTGGTCTTTCTATTCTATGTTATTTCTTACTGTTGCACTTAATTATACTGTCTTGTTCTACACTGTTATACTTTGTATTGTATTTAACCTCAGTAGGGCCCTGACCTTCCTCGTCACTACCCAATTGAGGTTAGGCTTGGCACTTACTGAGTACCGCCTGGTGTACTCATGCCCCTTCTGCGCATGTTTTTCATGTGCATATCCAGGTACTGCGACTTAGTCCT